TTATTTAATCCAGTAGCCTAGTTAAACTTTCACCAGAAAATAGTTGAAAATGGCTTTCATGATTTTTTTTTCAAGGTCTCAGCCTCTCTTGCGCACGAAAGTTAACGGTGCGCCAAGTAGGAAGAGGAGCGCACAGGAGACAACCGTTTCATTGCAGACTGTTATGTTTATGTGGGGAAATAGCAGTGCATACATTATTTGTGATATATTTCAAACTCGGACTTCATTTTAAGGACATGTCGGCCAGGGGTGTAGAGCTATTTGTTTAAGCACCGGATTGGCAAAACAGGAGAGTCTGTAAACCAGTCGGCTTTGATCTCATCGATGAATTCATGTCCGGGACTCTCACGGTATCTGCTACCCGCAGCTGTTTTATAGAAGGAAAACCTCCTTCACTTCGTGAAATGGCTGCAGCATCAGGAGGCAGCGGGACGTGTAACTCCGCCTCTGAGAAGTGCAGCACCAGCGCGCCGAGAGCTGTGCCTTTTTACGCACCGCCTTCACTGTGTTTACATTCATCAGAACAGCTTAAGAGTGACTGCAGGCTGCTACGTGTTAACCACACACACACACACACACACACACACACACACACACACACACACACACACACACACACACACACACACACACACACACACACACACACACACACACACACACCTCTACACATGTCGAACTGCCCGATTATTCCCCCTATTACTCATTTCATGAAGGAGATGTCCGGATTTATCTGTTTTCCCGTTTTGGTTTAAAACGAAATAACGTTGGTTTTCCGTTTTTCCGAAAAACACCGGTTCTTTCTTTTTTTTAAACGTTGTTTTGGATGCATATTGTTCTAGTATTTGTTCAGGCTGTTACATACAATTAGTTTCTGTTGCTACCTGCTGGTGAGTAAATATTAAAATTAGTTCAAATTGACAACCGGTCCGCGATTTTTTTTAAATGTATCTGCCGGTCCTTGGCACAATAAAGGTTGGGAACCCCTGATCTAGATGATAATAGAGTCAAATCCACAGACAAAGAATACAGTCCGGGAAATGTCATCCTTAAAATGTTGTTCTTTCTCAGTCTGTTGCAGTCTTCCAAAGATGGAGGGAACAGGCGGACAGCTAATGTCAAAGCGCATGGTTTTGCTAACCTTTTCGTCCTGGAGAAGAAAGACCTGTTCGACATCCTGGTCCACTACCCAGAGTCTCAGAAAGTGTTGGCCAGGAAGGGAAAGTAAGTCAGACACTCAGGACACACCACTACTACAACATCTTACTCTTTCCCAGAGCCACTGCACACATTCCAGCAATGATGTTTTTAAATGATAAACCAATAACATGTTTGCTCAAGTACAGAGCTATTGCTGAAAGAAATGTTCTCACCAAATGTTGATATTAGCTGTATATAATCCTAGTATGAAAAGTGTATACTAGGCAGCTCACATTTCAGCAACGAAGACCTTTTTCCTTTCACTTAAACATCGGATCTCTCTTTAGAACCATTACATTGCAGCAAACTTAGACATCGGACTCAGAAATACTCTATTAGCACCAGAGCACTTTGTTCAGCCAGCTTCTCCATGTCTGTGTGTAGGAAATTGATGAAGGCGAAGGGTCCCGCAGCAGCTAAAGCAGATGACGACAAGAAGAAGGGGCTCGCACTGTTCGGACCCAAACCCCCCACACCCAAACTGCTGCGACTCTTCGGTGGAAAGAACATGCTTGAAAGAATGAAGGTAACAGCACTTACACTTCTCTCTATATGTGCTCATTAAAACTTCATTGCAGTAATGCTGACATATGTTTTGTATTCCCCCCACCCCACCAGGCTACTTCTGGAAAACAATAAGGATTGTTGAGAGCTTTTTATTTACAACTCCTTTTTGGGAGTGAATGTACAGTTTACTTTTGTACTGATTGTGTATTTTGTGTCATTTTAAGATATGGGTTTTCTTTCATTACAAACATTTGGTTTGATATGCTTAGACAACTCAACAGAACCTCCCTGTCTAAGACAACAAGACATACAACAATGTTACCAAACTATTTGATGAGATGTGCAATATCTGTGTGTGAAAACTACCGCCCTTAGTGGATACTGCTTGTTGTATGTGTATATATTTATCCACCTTGATTTGTTTGTCTGCTTTTCTCTGCTATATTATTTTGAGCTTGCCAATGCACAGTCGTTGTAAAAGCCTTACAGAGATGATCAAAACAATTGGTTCAATAATGTTCACAACACAATATGTAATTGATTGGATCTGTCAATATCTGCTTAAATGAATAAATACTGACTTCATTTCAGTTGATAACCAAATAATGTCCTGTTTGTTTGCTTGTGTGTATCTGTGTGTTAACTGTGTGTGTACAGTAGAAGTTAGAGTTCGGACAGAGAGAGCTAAAGATAACCCTGTTAGCCAGAGAGAGACATGGTGAGAGTTAATTCACTAAATGCTCTCTGAGTTTCTGAACTCTGTTTACAGAGCGGTCTGAAATAACCTCAGCAGTCTAATTGTACACCAGACACTTGTGAGTTACTACCAATTAATCCATGTATTATCCCATTATGAAATATATTGGAAAATGAACTCAGTTCTATGTGAAATGCAGAGTCCAATTTGAGTTGTTTTTATTTATAAAGAAAAAAAGGTAATGGCACATTTAGTAAGCAGTTTGTTCTTACCAAAAAGTATCCGATCGGGCTCTCCTCTCTGACCTGGCATTTGAGTGTACAGGAGACGCACTCGTTTTAGTTATGATAATGAAGTTTCCCCAACAAAGACAACTCCTTTGGATGGTCTCTGCACTCGAGGCTCTGCAACAACACCGTTGGGCTGTTTGACTCTAAGAAAGGGTTACCATGCTAAATGGGGTAGCACTCAGTTTTAGAGTCACTGACAGTCTGGCAGTGAGGAGGCGGTGATGGGTGACTCTGCGTTGACTCCTGGAAAAAGGGGAGTGACCTGAGGGAATAAATGCCCGTAAGAAATGAAATTGCCTCAGTCTGTTGTTTGGATGTAAGACGAAGACTGCACAGCATCCTGAGAGTTTTCAGAGGAATCGGAAATCAAATAGAAATCGCCTTCAGGAGCAGTGGTGGTTGGTGGCTGTATAGCCCACTCCGAGACCCCCCATGTTCAGCAGGTTGAAGAGCCTGATCGGGGCTCCTGAGCCACCCCCTGCCCAAGCTCCGACCCACCATCATCTCCAGCTCCAGCAGCTAAGGTAAGGCCTTTTCTAATCTTCAATATAAATTCAGAACTGACATATTTTTGTTTAATTAGGACATTAAACGTTACCTACCTGCTTGTTTATCCGATTTCCTAGAATGCTACTCAGATCAGTGAAAGCCTCTGAAGCAGCTTGGCACTGATAAACAGCATGGGTGGATTTACTGTTGCTTTCTCAGTAGGATGCTGGCAAGGCAATATGTGATCCTGAATCTGAGGAAGGGCATAGTACTGAGGAATAACTAACGTTATGTGTGCACAGCCTTATCATTAGGAAATGAGTCCTATTTGTCTCAAGACAATTTCCAACTTTTTTCTGCAGTTACTAGCATTGTTTCTTTACAGGAAGAAAAGCCGCCTGACAAGAGGGATGAGAAAGAGGAGCCAAAACAAGACGAGGAGAAGAAAGGGGAGGAGAAAAGGGAAGAAGAGCCAAAACCAGGTGAGCTAGGATTTTTAATTTAGAGCACAACACAACCATGTACAGACCGGTAGCCTAGGTCAGGGGTTCCCAACCTTTTTTCCCCAAGAGCCCCCCCAAATGACTCCTGTTGGAAATGTTCCCCCCCCACACACACGGGGGGGGGTTCAAAGTCTCAACAATTCTACAACTACTGTCACAACGTGGATGAATGTGAAGTATTTTGTTAAAGGAGGATGAAAGCGTAATTAAGGAGCACTATTGGAGTGACTTTGATGGTTATTGGACTCAGGATTAATTCATTTGGATTCCCGCTGTATGAAGAAATTAAAGGACGGCGCAAGTGCAAACAATTCACAAAGGCATTAAACTGTTTAAAACACATGCTCAAAGTAAGCCGGATTTTGCCGATGTGTTTATGTGGATTCAAAAGTCGTAAATAATCTACAAAATGGAGGAGACCGATCTGATCGGAGCAACTGTGACAAATAATCCAACTGAAACTGGCATGGACAATGACTGTTTTAAAAATGCACTTATCCAGACGAGCCCGGTTTGGACACTTTACGGGCAGAAGAAACATTTCTATCAAAGAAAGAATTATACATTTCTGTCTTTTTATGCCTTTAATAGCTACTAACTTGAATCTTTATTCAAATTAGTTAATCAATTATTTTTTATATTTGATTGTAATGTAACTACAAGGCTTTTAGTGACAATCATGTATTGCATTACAATTATATGTAAAAAGAAAAAGAAAGTCAAAATAAAAAACAGTCTAAATATGATATTTGGCCTCAAATCATCTGAGGCCTGGCGCACCCCCTGTGATCTTTGGCCCCCCCAGGTTGGGGACCACTGGTCTAGGTGATTACTGTTACATACACACTGTAAATATTGTGAATATTGCAGTTAATAATAATAATTTCAATTTCTATAGTGCCTTTCACGAAACCCAAGGACGCTTTACAATGAGAAGTAACAAAACAAAACAAAAAAAGTAATAATAATCAAGGCTGAAGAAAACAAAACAGGAACAGGTTGCTGGGTACTGCATATTAGTTGAGGCCAAAGGCCTGAGAGAACATGCGGTGTTTGAGGTGTTTTTTGAAGGTGTCAGTTGATTAATAGATGTTAGAAAAGTAGTAACATGTCTCACTTAGTTGTTTTGAAATAATAACAATATCCTATATATATATATATATATATATATATATATATATATATCAGCTCCTGCTCCAGCTCCTGCTCCAGCTCCTGCTCCAGCTCCCTGCTCCAGCTCCTGCTCCTGCTCCTGCTCCTGCTCCTGCTCCTGCTCCTGCTCCTGCTCCTGCTCCTGCTCCTGCTCCTGCTCCTGCTCCTGCTCCTGCTCCTGCTCCTGCTCCTGCTCCTGCTCCTGCTCCTGCTCCTGCTCCTGCTCCTGCTCCTGCTCCTGCTCCTGCTCCTGCTCCTGCTCCTGCTCCTGCTCCTGCTCCCGCTCCCGCTCCCGCTCCCGCTCCCGCTCCAGCTCCAGCTCCAGCTCCTGCTCCTGCTCCTGCTCCAGCTCCAGCTGCTGCTCCAGCTCCTGCTCCAGCTCCAGCTCCTGCCAATCCAGAGGGGGTCGAGGGGTAAGAGCGCACCATATACTGCCCCCTGTGACCCTGCAGAGGTCAAGGGGGAACAGATGATGAATTGACAAATCAATGTTGACATTTCAGGCTTTCAAAAGTGACTTTAGGCTGAACAATACATCACTTATCATTTAGTCACAATCCCACATTTAGAAAAGATAGAGAAGAAAAATATAATTTTAGTTATTTAGTTGGACATTTTAAAATACCCTTTAAGAACTGACATTTGTATTATTTAAAAAAATATTATGAGGCTAGACGAGATTGTAACAGTGATTATAATAATAATAAAGCTTTATTTATATAGCACTTTTCATACACCACGTGCAGCTCCAAGTGCTTTACAAAATGACACATCACAAGTTCAAAACAAACAACAGGAAATTCCCCTCAGAAGAATTTAAAAGGTACATGCAGCAAAATATAACATCTGATCAGGTTAATAAACACAAGGAGGTCAAATGTATGATTATAATAATAAAATAAAATAAATAATGGTTTCTCTCTGACAGATAAGACACAAGACAACCGAGTCCATGCAACACTACACTATAACATATAAAACCCCATAAAACAAAGTGAACATATAGGTACAACAGAAAGAAAAAGATCCAAGACCTATAAAATAAATAAAACAATATAAAGGTAGGTAAATAATAAAGACTAAAAGAACATTTAAAGTGGGGGGTTGCTAATAGCTACTAAATGATTAATAGCTATTAGTAGTCTATTTCAGGAACTCCACTTGCCTAGATTTAGGATTAGGTTTCCAGGTGTCAGAGTATCAGCTTCAACACATTCAGTACACAATAGGAGCTGTGACTGCTAACAAGAATATATGTTACAATGCATTATCATACAAATGTAAATCATAACTGTTGCAAGAATCAGTCATCAAAATCTAGATGTATTTATTTGTTTACTCTCCAGACCTACATGTGCAAATGGAAAGTTTTTCCTGAGAGGTTGTGGTCCATTGTCTGGTGTTTCCTCACATTAAGCAGAGAGGACAGTGACATCATCACACTGCGGCTCCTAAAGCAGGACAAGTAGGAAAGCAGATTAGGAAATGAGTTTCATTTCTGACTCAACGCTCAGGGGAAGCATTCTGCCCCCTCCTCTCTGATTAAATGTCACCTTTTCTATTCTTTAATTCACCTTTCTTTCTGCGCTTGCCCCCTCCCAGTGAAGAGGCCTCCCCTCCTCCTCCTCCCCCCGTCGTCTACTTCCGCTACACCGATGACACGCTAAGAGATACAATCAAGAGGTTAAGAGAGCGCAGAGAGGTGCTCAAACAGAAAGCCATAGACCCTTATGCCACTTCTCCAGAAATCACCCCTCCTGTCAGTAAGTATGGACATAAAAAACAACCACGCAGGCAGAAAACATTATTTTGTCTTTCAATTCAACTTTATTTACAGTGAAAGGTAACTTTTTTCACATTTTGTTATGTTATAGCCTTATTTCAAAATGGATTAAATTCATTTCTCAATATTCCACACATAATACCCCATAATGACAAAGTGAAAACGTTTTTAAAGAATTGTTTGAAAACGTGTTAAAAATTCAAAATTAATCGCACATTTTTTATCTGTTCTAAATGTTCCTTAGAGGTTTTTTTTCCAAGTTTTTAATACTCTTATCAACATATGAGTCGACAAATACAAATGTTTGTTTATTATCATTTGAGCAATGACAGTACCGAAGGAGTGGCAGACCGGGGTGGTGGTTCCCCTTTTCAAAAAGGGGGATCAGAGGGTGTGTGCCAATTACAGAGGCATCACACTACTCAGCCTCCCCGGGAAAGTTTACTCTAAGGTACTCGAATGGAGGGTCAGGCCGATTGTCGAACCTCAGATTGAGGAGGAACAATGCGGATTCCGTCCTGGTTGTGGAACAACGGATCAGCTTTTTACTCTCGCAAGGATCCTGGAGGGGGTCTGGGAGTACGCTTATCCGGTCTACATGTGTTTTGTAGACTTGGAGAAGGCGTATGACCGAGTTCCCAGGGAGTTACTGTGGGAGGTGCTGCGGGAGTATGGGGTGAGGGGGTCTCTACTCAGGGCCATCCAATCTCTGTACTCCCAAAGCGAGAGCTGTGTCCGGGTCCTCGGCAGTAAGTCGGACCCATTTCCGGTGAGGGTTGGCCTCCGCCAGGGCTGCGCTTTGTCACCAATCATGTTTGTAATATACATGGATCAGATTTCGAGGCATAGTCATGGGGGAGGGGGTCTGCAGTTCGGTGGACTAAGGATTGCACCACTGCTTTTTGCAGATTATGTGGTTCTAATGGCTTCATCGGTCTGCGACCTTCAGCACTCACTGGATCGGTTCTCAACCGAGTGTGAAGCGGCTGGGATGAGGATCAGCACCTCCAAATCTGAGGCCATGGTTCTCAGCAGGAAACCGATGGACTGTCCACTCCAAGTAGGGAATGAGTCCTTACCCCAAGTGAAGGAGTTCAAGTATCTCGGGGTCTTGTTCTCGAGTGAGGGAACAATGGAGCGTGAGATGGGCCGGAGAATCGGAGCAGCGGGAGCGGTACTGCAGTCGCTTTACCGCACCGTTGTGACGAAAAGGGAGCTGAGCCAGAAGGCAAAGCTCTCTGTCTACCGGGCCATTTTCGTTCCTACCCTCACCTATGGTCATGAAGGATGGGTCATGACCGAAAGAACGAGATCGCGGATACAAGCGGCCGAGATGGGTTTTCTCCGCAGGGTGGCTGGTGTCTCCCTTAGGGATAAGGTGAGAAGTTCGGTCATCAGGGAGGGACTCGGAGTTGAGCCGCTCCTCCTTCGCGTCGAAAGGAGCCAGTTGAGGTGGTTCGGGCACCTAGTTAGGATGCCACCTGGGCGCCTCCCTAGGGAGGTGTTCAACCTATGAACATTACAAATATTTGCCTCAATTCAACCTGGAACCTCTCTCATACAATAATACAATACAAAGTGTGTGTGTGTGTGTGTGTGTGTGTGTGTGTGTGTGTGTCCTAGCATTACTATACTTGTGGGGACCTAAATCTGTTTACACAGTCACGTGTGGGGACTCGCCTCCCTTATGGGGACAAATTGGAGGTCCCCATGAGGGGAATCATTCATTTTAGGGTGAAGACTTGGTTAGGATTAGGGTAAGGGTTAGGCATGTGTTGGTTATGGTTAAGGTTAGGATAAGTCTCCAGGAAATGCATGTAAGTCAATGTAATGTCCCCTGAAGTGATGTATACATGGTATGTGTGTGTGTGTGTGTGTGGGCGCAGTGGTCAGCGAAATGCCGCTCCTCTGTTTTCATAACTGTCAAAGCATGAGCCACCCATTTAGCGATCTTTGTTGAAAGTTTGCTGCTCGTAGACGTGTCCAGGCGTCTCCCCCGCACACTTTCAAGTGTGGTCTGCCGCAAGCGGGCGGCAGGAGCGGGGCTGTCGGCATCAGCAGTGTGCTTGGATTGTATAGATGGTATTTTAAACTCGATGCGCTCTGAAACTACGGGGCGGCCGAGGACAAAAAATGCACATGCGTTAATCGCGTTAAAATAATTAGTGGCGTTATTTATTTTTTTGCGTTATTAACGCGTTAACTTGACAGCCCTAATTCACACCCTTTGCTATGACACTGAACATTTAGCTCAAGTGCATCCCGTTTCCACTGATCATCCTTGAAATGTTTCTATAACTTGGAGTCCACCTGTGGTAAATTAAATAGATTGGACATGACTTAGAAAGGAACACACCTGTCTATATGAGGTCCCACAGTTGACAGTGCATATCAGAGCACAAACCAAGTCATGAGGTCCAAGAAATTGTCTTTAGACCTCAGAGACAGGATTGTATCAAGGCACAGATCTGGGGAAGGGTACAACAAAATGTCTGCAGCATTGAACGTCCCAACGAGCAGGGGCGCCGTAAGGGGGTGAAAAGTTAGGACGATTCTAAGGGCCCGTGACTGACAGGGGCCCAAACTATTTTAGAACATTAAGAAAACAATGTTTAAGTAACCAATGTGATATATTTTCATGGGGCCCAACATCCCTGGCGGCGCCCCTGCCAACGAGCACAGTGGTCTCCATCATTTGCAAATGGAAGATGTTTGAAACCTCCACGGCTCTTCCTAGAGCTTGTTGCCCAAACCAAACTGAGCATCGGGGGAGAAGGGCCTTAGTCAGAGAGGTGACCAAGAACCGATGGTCACTCTGACAATGCTCCAGTGTTCCTCTGTGGAGATTGGAGAACCTTCCAGAAGGACAACCATCTCTGCAGCACTCCACCAATCAGACCTTTATGGTAGAGTGGCCAGAAGGAAGCCACTCCTCAGCAAAAGGCACATGAAAGCCCACATGGAGCACCTAGAGGACTCTCAGACCATGAGAAAAACAAATTGTCTGGTCTGATGAAACCAAAATGGATCTCTTTGGCCTGAATGCCAAGCATCATGTCTGAAGGAAAGCAGACCTGGCCAACACCATCCCTACAGTGAAGCATGGTGGTGGCAGCTTCATGCTGTCGGGATGTTTTTCAGCGGCAGGAACTTGGAGACTAGTCAGGATCTAGGGAAAGATGAATGCAGCAATATACAGAGAGATCCTTGATGAAAACCTGCTCCAGAGCGCTCTGGACCTCAGACTGGGGCAAAGGTTCACCTTTCAACAGGACAACGACCCTAAGCACACAGCCACGATAACAAAGGAGTGGCTTCGGGACAAGTCTGTGAATGTCCTTGAGTGCCTCAGCCAGAGCCCAGACTTGAACCGGATTGAACATCTCTGGAGAGATCTGAAAATGGCTGTGCACCGACGCTCCCCATCCAACCTGATGGAGCTTGAGACGATCTGCAAAGAAGAATCGGAGAAACTACCCAAAGAAAGGTGTGCCAAGCTTGTAGCATCATACTCAAGGAGACTTCAGGCTGTAATTGCTGCCAAAGGTGCTTCAACAATGTATTGAGTAAAGGGTGTGAGTTTTTTATTTTTTATTCATTTACAAAAATTATTTTAAAACTTTTGTAACTTCGTCATTATGGGGTATTGTGTCAAGAATGTTGAGAAAACAAATGAATTTAATCAATTTTGAAATATAATATAACATAACAAAATGTACCACAACGACACCATTAACTGCTTCTGGATACTGTTGGACATTCTGAGTGACATAGTGAATGTGATCGACATCCTATATGGCATCCTATATGACTGCAGCTCGTCAAAGCCGGGGACATTATTGTGAGTCCAGAGGCATTATGAACCTATTTGTATCTGTGATAGTTATATTGGAAGTGTTTTATGTGTAGTCTTAACTCATCTGAACTGAAATACTGTGTGTTCCCTTGCAGAAAGACAGAAGCATGGCTAAAGTACATTATCGGCAGTGGCGTTTTTATATGTACAAAAGTGGTGGGGCACAAAAAACTTAGATGTCTATATATAAGCTTCTGCAGTGAGGTTCATGGCTGGTGAGGCTCTGACTCTTCAGGTTTACAAATATTATATTTTGACCTAAATCAAAATATCATATTATTTTCAAAAGCTTTTTTTGTCTGATGCTTCAATTAATTTTAAACAGACAGTTCAACAAAAGGATACCCAAAAAATGTAATTGTATCATTTAAATATTGAATTGTTCTCTCTTAGTAAGATCCCATTTTCAATCAAATTGCAGTCTTACCTTGACATGAAGATGAAGTCCATTTGCCTATCCTTCTGGACAAAAATCTCTATTACTTTTTTGTAAAAGTCCTCCTTATGTTCTTGTAGTTTCAAAAGTCTATCATAAATCTGATCTAATCAATAGATTTATGATTCGAAAATTATAAAAGTAGGGTAGACATGTGGATATTATCCGGCTGAACAAAACGTGCATTTATCTAACAGGTTTGTTTCCCACAGATCTTATTTTGAGCTATTTTCTAAAATCCTATGGAGAAATATCATTGCTTTTTTGTGGAGGGAAGCCATGCGCAGTTTATTTCCGGGTTTTAGGACGCCTCACTGCAGCTCTCTCTCCTCCTCTTCACACACCACACTTTTCGCGGCACACGTATACTTACAGCCAATCAGCTCTGAATTATGTGAGATGACGTATGGTGGGGATGGCAGCACTATGCCCCTATGGTCATTATTTTTTTGCCACACACATTAAATAGGACAATACTCTGAGCATGCGCAGTGTAGTTTTTACAGTCACCATTGACTTAAACAGGGAGAGGGAGGGGCAGGATCGGGTTTTGTTCCACATGGCTCAAAACAGCTCAATAGGCACACACTGTAGACACTAATTAGAAGAATACAGACTAAAACAGCAATGTACAGACGAATCAGATGAATAAACATGATCTTAAAATATATTTTATATATTTTTTAATTTATCTTTTGCATTTTTTTGTAATCATTACTTTTAATACTTTCTGCTGACACTAGGTGGGGCTGTGCCCCACCTGCCCCTAATGACCAGTCGCCACTGATTATCGGAAATCATATCGATTTAAGGTGAGTCTGTAGTGGTGTGTCTGGGGATAGAAAGTATTACTCGAGTCAATTACGAGGAATATTTTTCATTGTATTCCTCTTTATACTTCTTCTCCACTAAATGTTGTAGCGTCATATCGTACTTTTGACTCTACTACGTTTATCTAACAGCTGACAGGTATCTTTTTCTTTGGTTCTTACCTAATTAATCCTCTTATGACTCATCAGATGAATCTTGTGACTGGAGGGCCTCTGGACTTAACTTACTATGTAGAAAGAGATTCAAATAGACCAGCTGCAAAAGTAAAATGTTAGTTTGATGATTAGAGATTTGATGCATCAGTATCAAAGATCTTATATCATGTTTAATAGTAGTAGTAGTAAGTACATTTAGCTGATGATACTTTATTTTACTTGAGTAGAATTTTAAAGGAGCGATCTTAATACTTCTTCCATCACTTTGTATGTCCAAGCAAGTACATTTTAATGTGAGAAAATCATGACATCCATCACAATCTACCACTCACTGTAACCTCAGAGGCACATTATCTGTTGTAAACATAACCTCATATTTTCCCTCCTCTTTTTAGTTGGATATCCTCAGCATCCTCCCGTTTGACCTCCTCTGCCTGCAGTTGGATTATCCTCAGTGTACCGAATCAACCGCTTTGGTAGGCAGCAGACACATTTTTACTCATATAAATTAAGTAAAACTTGTATATTATATATTTGTCATGACCAGTCGTCTGTTTCCTTGTGTGTTGTAGATCGAGTCGTTCTTTGAGTTCAGCGATCGACTTGAGTGTCATGGCCGAGGCCTACATCTGGAGGTAAATCAATAGTTACTTTATTTATCCAACTCTTATGACACTGTGTGCAAACTCCTGCCATTAGTAAAACTGTTGAGTTATCTCTCAGCAAAAAATAAGACTGTTGAAAGTTTCTGAACGATTTATCTCCTCAATTACTTGTCTGTGTGACTAAATTGTTTGCACAACAGATATCCACATAACAAAGAATTTGTATTCATTCCATTCCGCACCGTATGCTTGTTTCTCGTTATTCATTTATTTTAAAGTCCCCAATACTTAATCTTGACAATTTGTGAGTAAAATAATCTTTCTCTACACAGTTCAGCTCCATCTAATCATTATTTTCTTTGTTACAGAGTGATTCGCACCACAGGTTACCTGCTCTTCGTTCTCCATCTCAACGCCTGCATTTACTACGTTGCTTCAGTAAACCAGGGTCTGGGGTCCACCACATGGGTTTATGATGGGAAGGGCAATGCGTATGTACTTCTTAAGATAACACATAGTACCAGATATAGCTAATTATAGTGCATTATCGTTCTATTGAAATGAAGATGTACCCGTTCTTCCACAGGTACATTCGTTGTTACTACTACGGAGTGCGCAGTCTGATCAACATCGGGGGTCTTCCAGAGCCCGTTACCGTCTTTGAGATTACCTTTCAGATGTCCAACTTCTTCATTGGCGTCTTTGTGTTCTCCAGTTTGATTGGACAGGTATGTATGACGAGGATCTTTATTCATAATGATATCACATTTCACTTCTTAACATTAGCTTTTGTCCTTTATCTCACGTCTTTATTCGCTCCGTCTTCTCTCAGATGAGAGACGTGATAGGAGCAGCCACAGCAGGCGTGACGTATTTCCGGGCATCAATGGACGGCTGCGTTGACTACATGAACACCTACACCATCCCCAAGGAGGTCCAGAACAGAGTCCGGACCTGGTACAACTACACCTGGGCAGCTCAGGGCATGCTGGGTACTTTTTTGAGCCTTTAATACGAGAAATGTAGACTTAAAAACTGAAAACCAGACAATTATTAAAATGACAAAATATGTATTTAACTCGTACTGAGTTACTCTTTACACATGTCCTCTGCAGATGAGTCGGAGCTGCTGGACAAGATGCCTATGGTGATGAGAACTGCCATCGCTGTGGACATCAACATGGCCACCTTCCAGAAGATCGCACTGTTTCAGGTCAGCAATCACCGTGTCCTGTTAGCAGCAAGGCCTTGGTCAGGACTGTTCAGTGAACACTCACCTGTCCCCTCATATTGTCTCTTCCAGGGCTGCGACCATCAGATGTTGCTGGACATGTTGTTGAGGCTCAAGTCTATCGTCTATCTACCCGGAGACTTTGTTGTGTGTGTGACAGATAAACGTTGGTGATCAAAATGAAGCAAATATCCATAATGTCTGATCCCCTCCTGCAGGGGGACATTGGGAAAGAGATGTACATCATCAAAGGGGGAGCGGTGCAGGTGGTGGGGGGGCCGGACAACAGCATTGTGTTTGTCACCCTGAAGGCTGGCTGTGTGTTTGGAGAAATCAGGTGAGTCTGCTTTTTGTAACGTCTCAATTATAAAATAACAGGTAGAAAAAGATTAACAAGTCATATATTTATCTTTTGCTATCATTTTAACAATGACACATGTCCATAAGGAGAATATGTGTAGGCATATTGTGCAATGTTCTTATCCTTGTCTGGTATAATGCATGGCTGTAGCATTGCAGTGTAATATTTGGTCTTGGACACATGGTTTATTACTGCCTCTGTGCCCTCAGTTTACTACAGTCTGCCAAAGATGGAGGGAACAGGCGCACAGCTAACGTGAAGGCGCATGGCTTCGCTAACCTCTTCGTCCTGGAGAAGAAAGACCTGTTTGATATCCTCGTCCATTACCCAGAGTCTCAGAAAGTGTTGGCCAGGAAGGGCAGGTGAGTCTTTACAGTTAGCCATAAACACATTGACACTTTTTTCCCCACCAACTTACAATACCTGGGCAAATTAAAGTGTAAGATGCAGCCCATTAAGGATGTGTCTGTGTGTTTTGTGAAGGGCCCTGACCAAAGCCAAAGGTCCTCCAGGTCCTAAGGAGGACAATATTAAAGGAGGCACTATGTTTGGACGAAAACCGCAGACTCCCAAGATAATTAAACTCTTCGCTATGTTACGCAAAGGGACAGCGGCGAAGGTAAAGTAGCATTGTTCATAACAAAATGCCTAAAGACAATGTAACAACTAGTACAAGACTTTCAGCATTGTCTCTTCTCTCTTTCAGAAATAAGAGTGGACGAGTGATGCTGCCATCTCTACACTTTCTAATCTGTCACCATCATTTTGTGTAGTTCACTTTACACAGGCACCTGTAAATACAGCTTCAAATGATTCACCTTGTTAACCTTTGTGTCTGATTAATCTGATCAGTAGCCAAATCTGTGAAAAATAATTTGCATATCTATTACTCACTCTGTGCTATCTTAAGCTCTCAATGAAAGAGAGCGGTCAATACTAGTGAGCATTAAACGCACGAGTCTCTAAACAGATGTTGTAATATAGGTTTGCTATTTTTACAAATGGTTATCAGTTAACGTTTCCTTGAACATGTTTTAAGATGTACATGTTGCTTTATTTTTAATATAAAATAAAAAGGTTAAGCTGTTAACTCCAAAATGTTTCCTCGGTGTTCTTTACAAACAGATAAGCTCTCTCTCTGTTTTCCCTTTGTAGTCATTCGGTTTCTGGAGTGACTTTGTATTAGCAGAAATAGCTGAACAGGTAAAGTGTTACTACAATTTATACTTCCATCAAATAAGTTAAAGGAATATGACAACACAGTTTAGCTGGTCACAAAACCTTAAGGTACTCCCGGATTACAAAGAGACCTGTAACATTAAAGAAGTATTAGGAGACAGCGTTGATTGAATAATGATAACACCTGAGCAGCATGAAGCATCAATTGACATTTAAGGTCCATGATTTCTAATTTAAAGCTGTAAGATGATGCAGACCAAATAATACATTTTTAAAAAATATCCTGCTCTCATGCACAATACTGCAACTGGACATTCTCTTAATAAGCAGGAGCGACTTTTGTTTGGTTTAGCATTAAGAACTGCTCTGTGATACTGGACGTGTTCAGCTCCTCAACAGTTTAGTGAGTCTCTGTTTGAAGTCAGATAGTCATGTCGTCTGCAGGATACTTGGCCGGTTTAGTCCAGAAAGGTTTTTATCTCCTCAGCAGATGGATTGTGAAGAAAGCGTCCTTTAACTCTGGAGCTTCCAGAAGACGATCTGTCTGTCCTCCCCGCCGGTGATCACCGTGGAGCACAGCTTGCTCATCCACATGGCCGTGACGGCACCTTTTACAGGAGCAACATAATATGCATCATAAGCTTATCATTTCTTATTTAATTTCTTACTTATTTTACGTCACATTCAGCATTAGAGCTATTGGTACAAATCATGCACATAGACATTTAACCAGGTAGCTGTACCTGAGTGTGCGGGGATCCTCTTGGTGACTGTGTTGCTGAGCAGGTCCCACAGCAGGAGGTCACCTGACGCCCCCCCACAGAGCACCGAGTTCCCGTCCCAGCAGAAGCACCTGAACCCACAGCAAGAACTCCTTTTGAGCTGCAGCATATATCATATGTTCTTATTTCAATGGGCTACAGTTGTTAAGAGCTTACACCCAGGCTAGGCTAGGCAACGTAGAGACTAATTAAACGTAATATCCATACGAAGAGAACATAAACTTATTTAAATACAAATATATGAAACAAATACTCAGTTGCGTACGACTGAGGCGCTGACATCTGCCTGTCCTGCTCTTACCTCTGCTCCTCCTCAGCTTTCACAGACGATATCACCATTCCTGTCTGGACGTCAGTGACCTTCATACAGGAGTCAGCGCCGACACTCAGGACGTGTCTGCTGTCTGAGGACACAGAGATCCAAGTCATCACTTTCGACATGGTTTGTAGGTGACTCATGAGTGTTGATTTGGGATGTATAGATCTTTGTCATATTTTCAACACACTATACTATGCCGTTTTTTTATTCTTCACATTTTCAACATGACGTTATTTCTCCAATTTTTGACATTTTATACTATGCAGTTTTATTGTATGGCGACATTTCCTATGTGGAAAAAATGCAGAAAACAAACCGTTTAGTATGTCGATAAGAATGACAAAAACGATACTATGCCTTTTTTCCATATTTTCAACAAATACTATGTCGTTTGTTGCACATTTTTGACATACTATACTATTACGTTTTATTGTATGTGGACATAGTATTTTATGTGGAAATAAGGCACGGTATAGTGTGTAGAAACCAGGCATAGTTTAGTTAAAAATGACAGAAAAGCCATAATATAGCGTGTCGAAAACATTTCTTATCTCTGGTGAAAATCAGCGAGCTGGTGTAAGACCCACCTGGACTGAAGGCCGTGTGGTGGATGGTCCCCGTGTGGCAGTGGACCTGCTGCAGGGAGGTGTAGCTGCTGGTGTCCCAGAGGCTGACCGCCCCGTCTTTACAGCCCGACACCAGCAGGGTGCCCGCTGGATTCAGACCAATGGTGTTCACCTGCAGGGAGACACACGTGCATGTTTTGAGTGCTCTGCTACTACCTTTCAGTGTTTGGACTTTGATCCCAACACGTTTCAGTTCCTCTTTATGAATGACATCGATAATAAATAATAAACTTGTGCTTCAAAATGCAGTGTAAGCGTCCACACTCACCCCAGCTTCATGTTCCAACTCGGCCAGTATCTCAAACTGGGATCTCTTGTGATTGGACAAGCTATCAGAAGGGCACTGCCAGACCTGTGAAACAAACAGCAATGGTCACCTCTCTCTTAGACACAAACACAACACAAAATGAATTCATGCACATTGCTGTCATGTTGTATTACTGCCATTCTTCCCCGACTCTCAATCTTTCTGAAATTTCTGTTGCCTGATAAATCCATTGCTTTATAAACAGCATCACCTCAATAAAGCACTCTTTTTACCTTGACGGTGGAGTCCCAGGACGCCGTGTACAGCCGCTCATCAAACCAACACATCTCACTGACAGCGTCGTCATGGCCCATCAGAGTGTCCTGCCGCCTGCCGTATGGGATGGAGTAGAAATAACTAAGGGAAGAGAGACATATGGATCAGTGTGTGGTCATGCAGATCCTTTTGATATAATTTGTCCTTGGATATTATACATACACATTGTTGTCCCAGGAAGAACACACCACAGTTTTACCATCAGCCAGCATGAGACACGACGATAATGCCTGAAAGAAAGCCACATCGTTTATTGTTCAGAGAGTTCAAAATGATTAGAGAGATGGTGAAGAGTAAATACAGCTGCATACTGTACCATGTTAGAGAAGGACATGCTTCTTTGGAAGTCCTTCAACTCTTTGGAAAACATTTTAAGGGTTGAGTCTGGAACAAAGAGTCATACAGCTGAGTATTGCAGAGTACAACCGTTTGTTTCCCCACCAATGAGAAAAAAACTCATTATTTTTGAACCAATCTGCTATTTGTTCTCCCTTTCTACTTGTAAAAACTACTTGGATTAATTAATTCAACCGTTAAGTGTTGTCTTATCCCCTGTGAGGTACTTCTTACTGTGATGACATCATTTTGCACCATAATGGAGGAACCCCAACGGGCCACTAGAGGGAGAAGAGGCCATACATTGAGCAGATATAAAACCACTTCCCACAATGCCACTCAAATGACTCCATTATGAAACTTAGGGATGATGTTCCCCGTTTAAAATTACACAAACTAGTTATTTGTTACCGAGTTAAATCTTAAACCATTATGGATCAGAATTGAACAGGTTAAACTGAAGAATAGTATTTTGGTCCTTTTTGCAACTCTGTGATCTATATATTCTCCTGACCTTGGGATGTGGAGAATATAGCTGCTCCGTCCCGGGTCACAGCGATGCCGCTCACAGCCCTGCACATGACACAGAAAGACTCAATTACACGAGAAAGGGCATACGTATCCAGAAGGAAATGTGCAGGGCTGTTAACATAACGGTCACACTAGTACATTTAGCAAATATGTATTCAAGCAGAAACCTGTCCTCGACTCTCACTCCTCTACAAATGTCTTCACAAATATTTGTGTTATTATTTTCTGCAGCTGCCGACCCGATACTAGCTTTGCACGCACTTCCTCTTGTTTGAACCAGAGCTTTTCTCAGTTATATGTGGAGTTCAACCTTGATGCCTCCTGACTTACTCTTTATGGATCTTGTGGCTGGAGATGGGTTTCAGATTTCCGATGTTCGCCCAGGATAACTTCCTGCTCTCCTCCGTCAGGTCTTCAAAGGACGAGTCCTCACTCCGAGAGGCTGCAGCAGGGACAAAGAGGACATATCAATGCCTGGTGGTGGATGCAGCTCATGCCAGTTTACCATTATGCAACTAATCACTGGAAATAAATAAAATCAGCAGCACTGAGCAGATTATTTCATTATTTCTGACTATTTCTATTTCCTTGTAAAATCAGCAAAGAAATGATCTAGGTCAGTTGAAAATGAATCACCCTCTGTTTGGACACACTACATGTTATTATTAGACATAATTTAAGTGCTTTAATGACATATTTCACAGTTTGCATGTACCCACCCTCAGAAGAAGAGAACTACTCTAATCTTACGGGGATGATTCACTGAAATACAATGCCTCCCAAACTGCACAAAACAAGTGCTGCATATACAGAATACTCAGACTATTTGTTTCCGAAGGTTTTTAAGTTTGTGTGTGATCATCTCTTGTACCTGGAGACAGGTCGCTGACAGGTGAGTTGCTGCTGGGGCTTCGGGTCATGTTGTGAAACCGGGGGGTGATCCTCTGAGGGTGAGGGGTGGTGAACAGCTGCTTGGGCGTCTGGCCGAACTCCAGGATCTGTGTCAGCATGGCGATCCTCTGGTCAGGGTCCTCGATGCTTCAGAGAAATGGAAAGTTAGATCAAAGAAATAATGACAAATATCTTTAATAATAATCATGTGCGAGTGGTTTTCCATGTACCTATCACAGTCTACACCCCCTTCATAGGTCAGAGGGTGAAACACTGAAAAACAAAGAGATGAATGTGAGCTTTTTCCACGTCTGGTTGGTTTGATTTGAAAGAAACAGCTGCAGGTCTCTTTACCATTATGGGCTGCGAGAGCTTCACTGCCTCTCTGCTTGAAGCCGAACACCAGGTCGATCCACTCGTGAAGGTGCTCCGACACGTACTGACTCTCCAGCGCTGTCTTGTGCTTCTGGAGGAAATCACTGGTATCTGGAGTCAAACAGGACACAGTGAGAGTGCGGGTTTTAATATTTGGTAAAACAACAGAGACAAGAATATACCATAATGTTGTCAGCGGGTGTAACAGAGATTACATGCACACCATGGCCCTTTCTCATTTCACTAATTTCCCCTCCTCGACTCCTCGGTCCTCCGGTAGTGACCCGGAAATTGATTTCAGCACGCCATTTTGAAGGACATCTCATTTCTCTAAATGCACTTCGAGGACCGAGGATCAAGAATCGAGGAGACTCTCAGGAGGAGCTATAATCGAGTATACACGGATCCTCCGCGGTCCTCCACGGCTCCTTCGTGGATGCATTTCCGG